TATATATATATATATATATATATATATATATATATATATATATATGTATATATGGCGCTATATTACACGCTGTAAGAACGTCCGCTATACGTCTCTATACCTTACCCGTTTCGCTTCCATAGTTCAGTCTGTAGCTTCTGTAATAAAATGCATTTTTTTTGTTTCACGTTTGCACGTCATCTTCCTTGTTGTACGAATGTAGGTGCGTCTCGTGATTGCGTTAAACACAGCCTCCAACCACATCCTATCTTACGCAGTGCCACGACCACGTTCACACGCCTGTCTCACCCTGGCTCAGCCCGCCTCACTCTGCCTCAGCCTGTCTCAGTCGCGCGTGCTCAGACGCCGCGACAACGTCCGGATGAGATTCATCTCGACTCGTGTAATTAAATCCTCCTCGTAATTGCACTAATCTGTTAGAGATGCGTAATTCACTTTTAACCTCGTTGTTTTCACGATCAGGAGCTGATCGCGTTAAAACGCCGTCAGCGTATAGTGTAAGCAATTATTAGCCCCATCTGTCGGCCGTAAGTCAAATTAGCTGCGATATTAAATAAAGGCGCGGCCGACGTAAAAAAAATAGTGAGGCAAGTTATCTTAACTGTCCGTCGTAAATATGAAGGCACTTCCATTAAAGGTCGTCTATAACACCCGTCCTGACTGACTAGCATCAGTGTGCGTGCACACACAGACATATTGTATTCTCCCCAAATCTTAATTCAGTGCGTCAGTGAACGGGTATATTATATACACTACAGCCACGATGAAACGTCCATCTTAACTTCGTTGCGTGCGTGTACATGTATATGCAGGCATTGCGTAATTTTTAACCATGGCCGCTCAATTTCTAGCAGTGCGCATATATACAGGCATGATATGATACATTTATCCTGACTGCAATACGACAATGTTCATGTAGGCCCCCCTATATGCAGGCACGATATAACATTCAGCAATGCAGCACGCCATGAGCTTTAACGTCTATACAGACATGGCACGATATTTATCCTAACTGCAATGCGTCAGTATGCGTGTACAGTCAGTAATAATGGCGAAATACAAACGCACATAAACTGTAGAAACGTGCTTCTTATAGTTCATGATCTCATGACAATATCGACCATGCCAGCTTTGAGCCAGTCCCACGGTTCGTCACATACACGCAGTAGCACATATGTATTAGTATATAGCACATCTTGTATATTTAGAAAAGACATGGTTATTATTCATAGTTAATTAATTAAAGTGCATTAATTAACAAATTGGCTTAATTGAAATGGCAGACACGCCTGCAGCCTTAATGCGCTTAGTGGAGCATGACAAAATTATGTCATTTTGGTATTGAACCAATACTGAAATTTTCGTCTTGACGCAATATAATGACGTCTTAACGCATGTCACTCATATCTAGATACGTTATTTACGCATGACGTTTTCATGCTATTTAGTAAATCGATAAAAACCAAATCGAACGTTTAGTTTATACTATATTATTTATTCAATTGCAATGTGATTAATAAATTATAAATGGTAAAGTTTATATATTGAACTATGCCGGCTTTATTGCGTCCCTGTCGGTAATATAAGTAAGTGAACTATGTGTACGGATGATCAAGTCCTGGGTTGTTACCTCTTTTGACCTAACACAACATATTCCACGAACACGCATTCCATCGTTAAAATAATCATGCCACAATCTTATGAAAAATACATTTTTAGCAATAAATTCGTTAATTTTGTCGTTTGAAACATAGACGCTGACTAAGCACGTCATCAAACTCTTTTCGGATAAAAACGTGTCTATAATAATTAAAACATGCGGGATTACCTCTCTGACTTAGGCGAACACTAAAACATCTCACCATCGAACCATGGAGATTGCATGTTATTGCGATTGATTGTTCATATCGACCGGAACGGGAAAATGTAGGTATCGGGCAGCAATTAAATCATAAAAAACAGGGACCCGTTATAAGAAACATCGTAAAGTTTATGCCAATGTTAATGCTAAGATAACGCTTACGACTAATGTTAATGTCACGAGAATATGAGCTATGAGAAAACTTACGTTAGCAGGAACTTGATAATTTGCTGTCACCGGGCTGCCTGGATGAGAATCGATCACAAAACTCAAATTCATACACGTTTATTGTGCATGACAGTAATTTATGCATGTTGTGATGGTTAACTACAGATAAATAATATCTGATTAAAAGTCGACACGTTTAAAAATTCACAAATTTCTTCGTGCATACACAAGACGCTAGTGTCATGACTCATCAAGCTATCCAAAACAAGAGCATAAACGTCAGTCTTGTATAAGTTTGTTTTGGTACAGGATCGGTAGACAATTAGTGTGCTGGCGTGTTTTCCATAAGAAACACATGTTTTACTGATTAATATAAAATATAATATCACTATAATTGCAATTCTTTGTGTAATTGCATTATTTTCATCTTGGTCTTAAAGTTACGAGAGAGTCTGGGATCTCATAATGTTAAGAGAAAATTTGCTATTATTTTTCATTCTCATAACTTTACGATGTTTCTGTCAACGGTCTACGAGTCGAAGTTAATGTTAAGACTAATGTTAATGTTTAAGTATTTTATGGGTCCACCACGACAAAATTTCGTACGATCCGTTGTGACCGGGGTTTGTCGTGGCCAGATCTTGCAACATGCCCGAAATGTATTTCGAGTGGTCACAAGGGCTACGACACATCAAAGATGGTTTGGCGATGGGGACGCGACAGAAAAAAAAGATATGTCGTGGTTATGTCGTGGGTGTGTCGCAAGTCAGTCGTGCGTCAGTCGTGAGTTGTCGGGCATTGTCGGGGAGCTGTTTTTCACGTGAACAGGTCGTGGTTCACTCGTGGGATGCACGTGCTACAGTCGTGCGACTGGCGCACAACAGTCGTGGGTCATTCGTGGGTCACTCGTGAGTCACTCGTGGGTCACTCGTGGGTCACTCGTGAGTCACTCGCGCGTCCGTCTCCCGACTATATAACGAGGCCCGGTCTGTTGCCTGCCATTTGCTGCAGAGATTTTCCAGTGGATACATCGAAGTTTTGCCCGAATTTTTGACATTTGTCACTTCATTTAATCAAAGTTAGTATCCAGGATGCCTCTCAAGAAGAAAACCAACAAGAGAAAGATGGTAAGCCTAGCGGTTGGCCCTTGGTGATGCTGAATGGCGAGGGGCGACACTTCCAGCAACAGCTCGGCTGAGAAATCATGGCCAGAACTGCCATCACGCAAAATGAACCCGCGTATCGCGCTCCCCAGCCCAGTTTGCGACGAAATCACAAACGGCAAGACCTTCCCCGCTCCAGAAATGCACCTCAAGAACTCACAGTATACGCGGAGTACGCAAGAACTTCAAGAGCGAAAAGACGCACGACCAGGTAAGACCAACGCGAATGGAAAGGATGAAAAGGGGAGCACGGAACAGAGTTGACTAACCTCAGAAAACTTCTTGCGGACCTACACGGACTACTCTACCACGACTGACGAGACAGGAACCACCCTATATGAACCCCTCAGGTACTTTAGAATGATGATAAGCAGACGAATACGCGCGATACGAAACTTGAGTAGAAAGAACTCTTGGCAGTGCCGAGTAACTATTGACTGGCGCCAAACATCAGGCGCTCCGCTCGATCCAACGGCCGAACGCCCAACCACGTCGGGGGTGCTTTCTTCGTCCTTCCTTGGCGCGGTCTCCGGCCCGGATCAACGCCAACAGCAGCCTATATTAATGCTCGTTGTGAGCCCTTCTTAACATGACGCCCACCTCATCAGGCCACCGCGTCAGCTACCGCTCAGCGGTGGGCACATACATCCTCCTTTCAGCGCGCGACAGGCAGTTTTTAATTCGTGCCAAGCGTTCAATTCGCCCGAGCTATAATACCCCGTCAAAAAACGAAAAATATTGCAAGAACTAACGCCAAGACTAAGCCCACGACGCCTTGGGCTAATGTTGTGCGAGCTCTTACGCAAATATAATTTCGTGAAGACCAATACTTGTACGCTGGGCAGGGCTCGTTGTGACGGCAAGGCAGGCGAGCGCATGCCTCTTCAGAGCAAAGTGCTACTGGATGACTATTCACAACTAATCAAATGGCCGAACTGCCCTACGCTCAAGACTGCCAGAGCACAAACTGTACGTAACTTTGCCCTCTCCCCGTCTATAACGGAAAAATTGACGTATAGCTATCGCCCTGAAATAGATAGCTCATAGCATCACGAAACTGGTTTCTGTCACTGCTTCTGTTTTGTAAAGAAAAAATACGCGAATAGAATAAAAGGTGAGCGTAACGTAACGTTAACGTAGCTTACTATTACGTGGATACATTGAAGATGGCCCAATCGAATGTGACGGCGTGAAAGGGACGCAGACTATGGAACAATCTGCCTGGAAATGCCCGCTATTACGCAGAGCCACTGTAGAGCATCGAGACATTGAAAGCCTTTCAACGCACCCCGCGCAGCGCCGTGTTGAAACTGGCAGTGGCTAAGGTGGAGTGTAGATGTAGTAACCTGGAGAATTAAAATATCATAAATAATAGTACCAGACAGAAGAAGAACAAGAAGAACAAGAAAAAGAAGAGGAACGTAGCTTACCCGTACTAAACGTGGTTGCCGCCCACGAAAGTCCAAACAAACAGTAAAACGCTGATGAACGATGATGGCAATCGCTGAATGTTTTGACCGAATTATATGGGTTTGTGGATTTGGTGTCGATCAAACTAACGTCCGAAAAAAAAAAAAAAAAAAAAAGAAAACAAAAAAAATTTTTTTTGATTGTTCCATGAATGTCGAAAATAACATAAACAGTCAGCAATAATTCACTGCAATAAAATGATTCAGCCCAACGGAAAGTTTTAAAAAATGTCACAGGACCTACCTCTCCGCACCACGTCGCGGCACAGTTGGATCCACAGCAGCACCTGCACGCACACACATCGTGGTGTGTGTGTGTGTGTGTGTGTGTGGTGCTGGTGTGTTGTGGTGTGTGTTGTGTGTGTGTGTTGTGTGTGCCGTGGTGGTGTGTTCTGGTGTGATGTGGTGTGTGTGGGTGTGATGTGCGTGTGCAAGTGTGCATGGTGTGCGTNGAGAGAGAGCGAGAGCGAGAAGACGACAGAGAGAGAGAAGGAAAGAGAGAGCGCGAGAGAGGGAGAGAGAGAGAGAGAGAGAGAGAGAGAGAGAGAGCGCGCGCGCGAGAGAGAGAGAGTGAGAGGACGACAGAGAGAGATAGACTATATTAACTATTATATACATTTATTTATTTATTATAGTTTAACTATATGTTTAAGTGTCAGTGTGCAGCGTGAGCAATGGCGGCCGCTAGTGTTTGTTGCACATGAGCATTTGGACGGTTTTTATAGGAAATTGTCGGCAATAATAGGTGAAAGAGAGTATAGAAACATTATGACTTTGGTAGTAAATAGATTTCGTAGTTATTTAGCATTATATTTTATTGAAACGCTCCAAGTGCCTGTGAGCGAGAGAGCGAGAGAGAGCGCGCGCGAGAGGAGTCAGAAGATAGAGCGAGAGAAGAGGATAGAGAAGGGGAGCAGGGAGAGAGCCAACACGATAGAGTGGCGAGTAACAGTAATATAACGGAGAGCGGAAACACGAGAGAGAAAGATATACAGACGGGGAGGTGCCAGAGAAGCGCACCGCCATTTGACGCTCGCACCTCTCTCCATAGATCTGCGATTCACGGAACCTGGTGCCGACAGTAACGCCGTCAGACATGCTACCTGCTGCAGGACAGGTGTCAACGCTGGCTATCGTAGCAGTGGCAGCGTGTGTCGCCATCGCTGGCGGTACGACGTTCAAGGATTGCGGTGAGTGTCGTCGGGGAATGAAGGTGTGGTAGTGTGCTTAACTACAGCGTGACACACGTGTCCTACGCCGCCGCTGATCAACGACGCACGCACGCACGCACGCACGCACGCACGCACGCACGCACGGACCCGCCCACCAAACCCTTAACTCACCAAGGTACGTACGCACCCACACACCTAACCATCCGTCCACCAAGGCACGTACCCAAACAGCCACTAACACACGCACGTACCCACCCACGCAATCACCCACCCACCAACACACGCATGCACTCACCCACTGCCGTACGCACGCACGTACCCACCCAACTACCAACCAACCAACGCACGTACACACCTTATCACCCACCCACCCACCAACGCACACACGCCCCACCCACCACCGCTCGCACGCGCGTACCCACCCAACTACTCACAAACCAACGCATGTACGCACCCACGCACCCAATCACCCACCCACCAACGCACGCCTTTTTTTAATTTAAATTTTTAATTGTATTTGTTTAAATTTTTTTCCTAAAAATTTTTTTTTTATTTATATTTTATTATGTATGTGGCATTTCACTATGATTGAAGTATGCACCAGACAGGAGTGGAGGAGGAGGAAGAAAATAATTCCTAAACTATTTCAGTGTCATTCACCCTCGAGATCTTATCACAAAATTTCATTCACCCACGACAAAATTTCCTTATGTTTTTGGTCTAGTTTCATTCACCTCAAAATTATTTCATTCACCCTTGGGTGAACCATACACCAGTTTAAGAAGTACTGCTGCTGTGTAAATACACTGTGTATATTTTTTACCAGTATATTTTTTTTGTTAGTATTCATTTATTATGTTAAGTTTAATGTGCATCAGCGTATTATTTGTATCGTGCACCGTAGGACACGTTGGTCCTACGGGTCGTTGGTCGTGGGTAATTCAAAATTAAAAAAAATTTAATTAAAAAAAAATGCATTAAAAATTAAATTAAAAAAAATTAATCACAAATTAAATGAATAAAAATTTTAATTAATAATTAAATTTACAAACAAAGAAAAAAATTACGTGTGCCTGCGTGCACCGTAGAACCAACGACCCGTAAGACCAACGACCCGCGGTGGGTGGTTGGATGGATACGTGCGTGTGTGTGGCGGTGAGTGGTTTGATGGGTGGGTGCGTGCGTTGCTGGGTGGGTGAGATTACAGTTCTTTAGTCCTACGGGTCGTTGGTCCTAACCAACGCACGCATGCACGCACCCACCCAACAACTCACCAACTCAATCACCCACCTACCAACGCACGCATGCACGCACCCACCCAACAACTCACCAACTCAATCACCCACCTACCAACGCACCCACCCAACCACCCACCCACCAACGCACGCATGCACGCACCCACCCAACAACTCACCAACTCAATCACCCACCTACCAACGCACCCAGGCAACCAACCACCCACCAAAGCATGCACACAACTACGCAAACCCAAACCACCCACCCAGCGACAAACGCACCCACCCAACCACCCACCCACCAACGCACGCAGGCACGCACTCACCCAATAACTCACCCACTCAATCACCCACCCAGCAACGCACCCAGCCAACCAACTATCCACCCACCAACGCACGCACGCAGCCAAGGAAATCCAAACCACCTACCCAGCAACGCATGCATGCACACACCCACCCACCGCAGCACACACACACGTATACACCCAACCACTCAGCAACCAACGCATGCTCGCACGCACCCACCCAACCACCTACCGACCAACGCACGCACGCATGCACGCACCCACTCAATTACTCACTCACTCAATCACCCACTTATCTATCTATCTATCTATCTATCTATCTATCTATCTATCTATCTATCTATCTATCTATCTATCTATCTATCTATCTATCTATCTATCTATCTGTCTGTCTGTCTGTCTGTCCGTCCGTCCGTCTATCTATCTATCTATCTATCCGTCCGTCCGTCCGTCCGTCCGTCCGTCCGTCCGTCCGTCCGTCCGTCCGTCCGTCCGTCCGTCCGTCCGTCTACCATCCATCCATCTATCCACCCGTCCACCCAT